AGTATGGTCTGGGAGACCACTTGGGTGGGGGGGACTGAAGTAATTGTTGGAGAGAGTTCTATATACGGACAACCCTTGATGCCTCTGTGCACAAACCTACGAGACTTGTCTGAAAAAAACCTACATTAGCCTTAGGAAGGATGGTGATTTAAGAATTTTTTTTCCAAATATGACAAATTCGGTAGCATTGGAAAGAGCTTTCAAAAAGAAACTCAATGGTACTAGTTATACATGTAGCTCTATAGGTAAACTATGATGAAGTTACAAATGAACTAAGTGAAATTAACCACCCTACCGCAATTCAAACCATCCCAGAGAGGTAAAAAAATATGTGAAAGTTAATTTAGAAGAGATCAGACTACCTTAGATAAGAAATTTCAAGTCTCCTTTCCTGTAATCCATATAAAAATCTTAATCTTTGTTATACTCTGGTTCACGAATGGACATTATTTACCCGTCAGTTAATGGGAAAAAGTAAAAAAAAAAAACACCAATGTTTGTAATTATGATCTTAAATGCATCATTTATTGACTTTGGATGAAGTTTGGTGCGATTGGGCAATAAAAAAGCTCTCCAAATCTATCCCGGTTAATCATCTGAACATTTTCATTTCCCCATGAATCCATTTGGCAAACTTGCTCATTCATACCCCAAAACTGCCATGTTTTCAACAGCTCCACAAAGAGATTCACCAATACAAACTCTCTAGGAAGCATAAAGCGTCTAGCCACAACAACCTAAAAACGGCATATAAACATCACCGATATTTCACCCGTCAGAAAATCACCCTTTCGTACACTTATATCGAGTGTTCATGTGAGGTTTCTAACAATTTTGTAGAATCAAATTTTAAGACTTAACAATTGAGGCACATGCCCTTTGAAGTTGCTCACAGGCTAGACTTAACTGGGGATTATATTGTACATATGGCATAAATCTAAAGTCTGTCTTTTACATTGTGTAGCTCTGAAATTCATAATGACTTAAGCCTCCCCAGATTTTGTTTCAAAAACAACTTTGGTGTAAGTCGAATGGTGGTAACGTATCTGTTACATGTAGGTCGTTAAAACAGTTTTAGAAGGTTCAACTTCAAGTATTTAAAATGTATGTTCAAAATATGGTAGAGTTAAAAATCTGTCCTGTTTTGTTCCATGTTCTGGAGCTAATAAACTTTATGATTTTGAGCAGATTTCATATTTATTCATTGAAACTGATATTTTGCAAAGTCCTAGTCCAAACTTGAACACTTTAGTGAAGAATGTACCTTCCATTTTTTTTACACGAACGCCATCAAATTCTCACAAAAAAATCGGACAAGATAAAATGACCACGCGCATGAGCAGAAGCAATCACAGTTTGATCTGAAAGTTCAACATGGTTTCTTGTCTTTCAAAGACACTGATCACCAATGGAAACATGTTAGAAAGGGTAATCTTCCCAATTATAATTCATCTAATTTATGGATCATTTCAAAAATCTTCAAAAGGTAAAAAACAGTTTTTTAAACGGACATATACAAGGTGGTAGATATAAATCCAACCCCACCTCATTCCACTCACTTCCCTACCTGAATGTAGGCTACATGTCATGTGTTTTCTAAATCAAAGTAAATGCTTCGGAGTTTTCTTAGCTAATTTCACTTTTTGGGACATGTCATCACTTTCTGATGGCTATTATGTTTTTTATACTCTATGGTTCTCATTTCCGATCGACCCTATTATAAGGGCGCACTGATGATGGTACCGTACAGCAAGGTTCACTCGTTAATACGGCTAACGTTTGTCCGGAAACTGGGCTACTATTTCTAGACCCATTATTTACAACTGCAAAGAATATTCCAAATAATATTAACATTATTATGAAAAATGTAAACTTACTCACCATCTGTCGCAGCAGCAGATTGATTTTTCAAATCCTAAACGCAGGCCTAACCGTATATTAAGGACGTGATTTTGGGCAACTTTGAATGGATTTGGAGGCACGTGTGACTTTGAAATAACTGGTATCCACAGCTAGCTGAATACGCCCTACACATGCAATGTTTACCAGTGACAATCAATTCTCGCTGCACGAAGCGGGAATGTCGCGTTTTCACGTGTTTTTTTTGGGGGGGGGGCTAGCCCCGGTTGGACGCTACCAGCTGCGTTTTTCATTCATTCATTTCATTTATTATTTCTCAGGGTACAAAAACCAACACAAAATACAAAAACCGATACATTTCAACATAGAGGAACGATATTTGCTTACACCCCTGACGGATAGCCTAAAAGCGAACTCAATCACTGCCGAGAGGGTCTCCATAAAAATGTCAACAAATACAAGAAAAACAGTAGATAAAAAATGACTTAAATACAAAAATGCACAAAAATAAAACTAGATAAATAAACAATGGAAAGAACATTTCTGAATGAAGCCACCCCCTATAAGCCCAAATTCGGGATTTACAGAAATATTTCTATGATGCCTCTTTATTATGGCACGTAATACAAGAAAACGACAGAAATGACTGAAATGCAGGAGCAGTTCGGGGGGGAAGAGGTTATAGGGGGGTTCAGCCTCTCCCCACCAAATCCCCTGTCTACCCCCCCAATTAATAATTAAAGGCTGCGAAATGTTTAATAGATTAGGTGAAGTCATCTGCGAAGGGTTTAGCTCCCCCCCCAAAAACAAATTGGCTCTAGAACCGCTCCTGCTGAAAAGGTCACAAAAGGTCAAAGGAATTTTTAGTTTCCCAAATTTTCCCACCCTTCGTAAAAAAATGTTCCATCCCCTGAAACCGTGCTTTATGGCGGCTGTACACTCACTGGTAGCCTACACGACCTGTAGTGGGGCAAGCGAACTGGGTCGACTACTTCGAGAAATTACTTGGAATTATGAGCTGACAGGCTCATTGCTGGTTTTAGGTTGGCTGTTTCATTGGCTGATTTTACACGTGTACTTCCATTAAAAAAGTACAAGTACTATATTGAATTGCATTTTGATTTTACAAAGTATTAATTGACAACAATTTACTTGGTCAAGACTTGGTAACAGTGGTAGTGTTAATGAAACTTTGACAAGTTTCTTCTTATAAGCAAACAATTATTATAAAAAAGCCCATCTTTAAAAGTCACTGGACACCTTTGCCTTTCTTTGTTCCAGTTAAATACTGGCTGAAAACTGGGTTCTTTAAGCAGCAAAATTATACGAAGACTGAGAGTGGGCATAAATTTGGGGATCCCAGGCAAGACTCGGAAAAACTGAAAATAATGGCATCTAAACATAATTAAACACAATCCACGTACGGAAAAATTATATGACAAAGTCCAATTTTAATTAGTTTCAACCCACACACAGACCTCCATATTACAGTGATTGGGTTCTTTACAAGATAAAATTTCATACTTTAGTTCTAAAATGATGGGGAATATTGCAAAAATAATATAAGTGGGAGATAATATTTTGATATTGTTTCTAATATATGTGTTACAATGACATTAATCTGAATGTCTTAAAGGTTTCTATTTACAAAGATGTTATCTCAGAAAAAAAGTTTTCTACAGCGCAAAAACTGCTGACCGTACAATTGGTCAGCAGTTAAAAATCTTCCATTTTATACATGTGAGGAGTGAATATTGTTGCAATTTCTTCTTCATTAATATATAACTGGCTTTGAAAAAATTGAAGCACTGTTACTTGCATTTCTTTTATATGTTCAAACTAAAAAGTGAAATGAGGTGAAAAAAGGTCAATCAATCATTATGATTTTGTGTCTATCTCACCATTTAAAACATACTATGGTTCTTTTCAGAGCACAATAACGTTCAGAAGCTTCATACAAATGAAGGCATTTATATCTTGTAAGGCTAACCAATGTGAATTTATTTGTAAAATTAGACTTCTTCCAGTCTCAAGTGTTTCTTAAAAAAACAAGAAATTTTTCCTTATCAAAATTCATGTATTTCAACTTAGTGTAAAAAATTATTTACTCCAGAAACAGACGTACATTTTTTATAAAAATAAAAGAAAGACAATTGAAAAATTATTGATATAAAATTTATTGTTTTAGTTATTTTACATACTACCACCTTTGCAAAAATTATTACATTAACTTGAATGGAGATGGCCTTCACAGGAAGCATTTTCATTTCAAAATATTGAAAATTTAATATAAATATAGCTTCTACTTCAATTATACAAACAAAATCTCACAACTTATCAGCATAAGTTTGATGTGCACATTCACTGAAAGAGCAAGCATCCGAGTCAACTGAAAGCACAACACTTCAACTATCCCAATGAAAATTACATCAAGTGAAAAAAATAGCGTGAAAGCTCATTGTAGTGAGGTCCCACAGTGCTAATTAAAGAAATGATAAAAGTACATCCGAAGGAAGTTTTCAAAGCAGATTTTGAATAATATTGCTTTATTTGAAAGGATACGCAAAAATTACAGGAGCATATGAGTGTCAGGGGTAATGATGCGATAGCATGCCTTGAGCAATTTGTGAAGATTCATCTGGCACATGCTATTCTCTGGAGCAGCTTACCAGAGTGACAGGAGAGGGCCACAAACTCAATTTTGATTATGTGTATCTCTGGATCACCAAAAAGCACTAAAGGTAAAATAAAGAGTATCGTCAAGCTATCTTCTTCCAAACTATGTAAAGTTATAACTATCGCCAGTCACGGGTGGAGATTTCTTGTCACATGTGGGGTGGGGATGATTTCTGAAAGGTCATCCTTGTGTGGAGCATGACATAGCACAGGGTCCAAGGTCCCACTTCAATTAGGGGTGCACATAAAGTCGGTGACTTGAAAGGGGGGAGATGATTAAATCGGCAATTCCCCACTCCTAAAAGTTCCCCGGAATCTCTGCCAATGTTGCCGGTTGACATTTACGTTTACAGTGGCAAGTGTCTGCTTCCATCACTTTTAGGAGACTGACTGTTTAACAATGTCCCGCAGTGAGCCAGTTAAGCATACAATTGACTGACCACAGTACAACTCTCTTAAGCAAGTTCCATGGACACCAGTTTGGTTTCACTATAATCAAACACACCTTAGTCAACGGCGGTTGGACTAGTCAAGCTGACTGTTTAGGACAGTCTAGAGGTTGGTCACATTAAAATGTTACAGCAAGGAGACTGGACCATGAGCTGCTTTGATAACATTTAATACCTGCTCAACAAGAAATGTTTCCCTTTGTAAATTAGGGTACAATGTCACAAACTAACCGCACAATGAACAGTTTTTCTTGACCTAACTTGCTCATTGTTATCGGTACATATGCATTGAGCACAGGCATAGGTACAGGAAGGTCCGGAATGATGACTAACTTTAAATGGTCACTGAGAGATCGTGTTACTGTGTAAACACTGCTAGTGCGATCAACTGCATGAACTTGAGTGAAACATAAAAATCATGACAGGAGAACATTGCGGTACAGTTTCTATCCAGATGTGTTTTTCAAGTCCAACACACCGCTAACAGCTCTAACAGGTGGCCTGTGTTCACAGTGCACTGGTTCTTTTATCCCAACAGTTCACGCACACAATGAAGTGCATCACCGGTCATTTGGGATAATTGATACAGGTGGTGCGATGTCAGTATGTGTTATTATCCAAAATGACCTTGACATATGAATACCAATTGCCCAACCTTGTGACTTGTGCCCACACGAAATTAGTGAGGGTTTCCACTCATTCAAGTCAAATTGGTTGTTTGTTCCCTGCAAAACAGCTTTCGGGACTAATATTTCAGATCTGTGTTCCCTTCTGTACTCTAGCTTTCACAATTGGTCCATAAAGTATCATCTACTGTTCCTATGAGGCTCTAAGACAACAGACTAAAGTTTTGTGCACATTCTGTTGAAAAAGCCTATGTAAATTTGTGCAACATCCCATACCGTTGAGTCAACCAAGCAGCAACCTAAACAGGTCTTGCATGAATGAACTTCAGCCTATCGGCATGAAAAAAAAAACCCAGCTAGTGCTTTTTCACAACTCTAGGCCATACAACTATGCAGCATCAGCCTGCTAACTGGCTGGGCCTGCTTCCTCCTGTTGCTTCTTCTCTCTCCTCTTGGCCGCCGCCTCTTTCTCCTGCCTCTCCTGGAAGGCCGCAAAGACCACCTGAAGCGACTTGGCATACTCGGCCTTCTCCACCTCGTCACTCCCTGTGTGAACAACCACAAGAAGATATCGATCAGTGACAACAAGAGTGCCAAATCTTAGGCTCAAATAAAATTTTAAAATCTGTACGTACTTCTGAGACCTAAATTATGTACATTGTGTTGGGATTCCACATGGTTGTTATTCATGACAGTCCTTAATCCTCTGATTTCAATATGATTTCACACACATCCTCGGGGGATAAAGTTAAACTTATTTCATTATAAGTGCTCAGTACCACTTGGCAAGAGAGAAAATACTGCAACAAAAAACTATGTAGTGTGCTCTTTTTCCTTTAATAGCATGGTGGACATCTCAATAATTTAGGATATCAACTTTGCAAACCACCTATGAATGCACAGCCCTAACAAATCCCATTGATGAATATTCTAATGAACACCAACCCATGAGTTTCTTGGCTTCCTTGCCGTCAACCAGTGGGTTCAGCCACGTTGACTTCCTGGTGTCTTTCGTTTTCAGGCTGCTTCCTTGAGGCACGTAGATCATGAAAGCCACCTCGGTCACTTCTTTCTCATTGAGTTTGGCATCCAGTTTCTCAGCATCCTCTTCAATATACAAAATAAACCATTCTAATAAACACCTACAGAGTTCAACACCTACAATTTTGTCTAAAGAATCACATAAAATGCATTCGAAGTGAGCCACAGCTCACTTTTATCACAGACGGGAGTTCAGTTGCACACTTTCTTAGGCATTAGAGTTGCATGCATTGCATGCGTTTCAGCAAGTCGCAGTTTCCTATTTGATGCATGTCACGACTTGTATTTTACCACCGCAGTAATGCTGTCGACTTCTGGTAGCCAGCTCATCTGACAGGGACAGAATGTATACAGCTCCACTGCCAGCTTTGGGCATTGGGGGGCCACGGTACCAGCTAGGTATGCATATAACAAGAACAATAGATATTCTTGATGCTTATGCTTTTTACAAATGAGGAAAGGGGGGAGAGTCAGCAGCTCGCTAGGGGGGCCAAGCCTCTCTGGACTCCCCCTTCTGGGGATGGACATGATCGTGGAAGAATTTAACTCACTCTTGGTAGCACCAGATATGGCATTGAAGATCTCCCTCTTGGATGGATAGTGGTCACACTCCTTGAAGAACCCTTCCAGATCCCGGATGGTGATGAAGTCATTGGGATGTGCTCTCTTCGCAAAGACATACTCGTAGTCTGGAGAAGGCGACAAATTACATTGATTCTCAAGACCACAGCAACCATACAACACTGATGGATGGGCAATGCAGGAGGGTGAAGCACTCCTAACAATGGCTGCAGATCACGGCAGGAGGTCACATGGCACTACAACCTTGTACAGTATTGTTACGTGGAAATTTGCACATTTTCAGTGTCTCTCAGGCCTATTCGCTGGTGCATTCATGTGGCAGCATAGCCAAGGGGGTGAAGGGAGGCAGAATGTAACAAGAAAATTTTCAAATCAACTTATATCTTTCAATAATTCTAAAACTGAATCTACAGAAATGGGCGACCATTGTCCTTAGCAACAGGCAAACAAAACCCTGGTTGTGCATGCATCTGTAGTGCCAGTTGATAAAATGGTTCCGAGCAGGAACAAACGAACTCACGGCATAGGCGCAAGATTATGCGCTTTGACACGGGGCACACTGAGTACATGCAACAAGTTGATACTGGAATGTATGGTCTTTGCATACATGCCAAACTCCTGCAAGAACCAAGTTGGAAAACTGTCTTTCTTTTGCCGGTGAGGGTGTGCTTCAATTCAGGGAGGATTGAAAGAAGACTTACATCGTTTTCGATCCATGAACTCGTCCATCTGCCACAGGTCCAGATGGATGTTTGGTTTCTTGACGCCATGCCAGCGGGCAATGCGCTTCATCAGCTGTGCATAGTACTTCACAAAGGCTCTGAAGGAACCTGCATGGACTCGAGACTAAGAGAACAAGAAAAACGAGATTTCAGTTTCATCTTTATCCTGAGCCAAACTGAATCTTCACGGTTACTTTACATTCAAACAGCAAAATAAAAAGAGTTTATTAGTCTCTTCAAATTTCTGCGCTGTTTATAAACAAACCAGCCAAAATGTAAAAATGAAATGTACAGAACTGCTCTCAACATTTCAACAAACAAACCATAGAACTGGAGTGGAAACAAATATAGCAATACTCACTTTTTGCTTGACTTTCTCTAGCATGGTCCTCACAACCCAGCCTCTTACATATCTACACAAAGACAAAAGGTCCAACTGCTTTCAAAACCTCCCTTTGAAACTTTAGCATTATGCTTGTAAGGTGCACTCAGGTAACATTTTTCAACAACTTACCCTGATATACTGTGTGAATGTAGACAAAAATCACTTGCACAATATGAATGGGCAAAATCAGGTTTTTTTCTGTAGTGGCCTTATGCATACACAGCCTTTCACGCAGGATCTATCACATGCCATGTCAAAATGCATTACTTACATAAAACATGCACACAACATATGAACACAACAAAAAACCCTTATGAAAAGCATGCAAACATTTAGGACATATTTTGTAAAAATGCAACTGCCTATATCTGGGAGAGACCTGAATTTGTGCCCCTGTACACTGAATATAGGCCCTACTGCAAGTGTTACGGGTCTGTTTTGATACTCTACTGCAAAGTTTTTGGACGGAAGTGGCGCCGGTCATCTGCACATTCAAGGTTTTACTCTCACACCGGATGAAGACAATTAGCATTTACGTGTCTGTTTTTGTTCAAATATGACAAAGATGCATCCTTCACAGCGTTTGCCAACTCAAATAAAATAGCACAATTTCACTCTAACAAAGCACGTACTTCTGAATGGTAACAGCTGCTTTCTTCATTTGTGCTTTAGTGACACCCCTCTTTCCTCCATGGAACAGTCTGGTAAATATAACAAACAAAACTAAATAACAATTTGTACGCAAAAATCAAAATAGGTCGGAATGTAAAACTGGGCAATAATTTTCCTTCTTTAGTTCCTGTTTGAGACCGGCAGTACAAGCCAACATTCTCCATTAAAATCACCTTTTCATTGTTGTGGTCGTTGATATCATCAGGTGCCATTTTGTTATAGTTTAAGATCTAGATTCATCTACATATATCTGACTGCCTAATGCAAACACAAAAGATATTAGTGTAATACGTTTTCATGAAGTTGCCCTTGCCAAGGCTTGAGAATTTATATTTGTTTTTTAAGTGGCACCTGTTAATAAAAGACACATAAGTACTCTGGCAAAGAAAAAAGAAGAAATTTAAAAAAAGAACAACTTTTTTGGTGCACTGCAGAGAATAGCAAATTGTAAGCACGCTTTCATCTTTAAATGAGGAAGTATATCTGTTGGCATACTTACTCCCAGATATCCACACTTGGTCCAATTCTTTTGAGAAGACTTAAAGCTTTCCTATTCTGAAGTGCTTGTCTGAGGGAATAAATGAAACAAGTACATTAACGCTTAAACAGAAGAGCACGAGAGGAGATGTTCAATCCACCAATCTTTAGAAAGTTTTAAAAAATTCAACAAAGATTAGTACAATAATTAAAAATATACAAAATTGATGAGGCAATTCTAATAAACAAAATGCCAAACAGCATTTTGTCAGTTCTTATAAGAGACAAGTACTACAATCACAATTACTATCACAAAAATACACAACTCAAATGTATCTGAATCTTTCTCTAAGCCAAACACCTCTTTGGGTTTCAACAGCCAACCTGCCTGTGTCAATGGTGTTTTTAATCAAATCTTTTCTTCATGTACTTACTGCCTCATTTGCTCATTCCATTTCTCCTGCCTCATCCTGTCTTTAAGCATCTTATCAGACAAATACTCTCGAGCCCAGCCACGATCCATGATGTCTGGCCGCTGAACCAAGGCAACCTCTTGCCTCATCATGTGCTCCTTGTAAAATCTGGAATACAAGAACCCAGACAAAAGGAGTTTATTAGACAGAGATTAATGGTCATGTTTCAGTTATTTGGAATTCAATGTCTGCACGATTTCAACAATTCTGCCAATATTGCTATCAGAACACCTGAGCCCACTTTCAGGTTAGCAATGTCACGATGTACCTGTTGAGTTGCTTGGAATCTCGGCGCTGTTTTTCCCATCGTTCTTGTTCCTGTCTCTCCAGTTCCTTGCGGTACTCCTTGGCTGCTGAGCCACTGAACAACTCCCTGATGTTAACGGAAGACTTAGCCTCTTGGGCAAGCTGCATTGCTTTCTCCTCCTCCTCCTAAAGGAAACCAGTTACAATGAGTTTTCAGAACAAACTGCACTATATGGGTACAATATACAACTGTAGATTTAACTGTGCCTGAGGTTAGAGTTATCAAAACTATTAAAGGTTTCTTTCCATAAACATTAGTGAGATATTTATTGCCATTACAAATAAAACTTGCTAAAATTCATACATTATTTCAGACAGCACACTTCGGTTTATAGTTGAAAGCCTGTTATGTGGGTTGTGTTTTAAACTGCCCGATAATACTTCCAACTGGTTTTAGACACTTTTCAAGTTCTGTATGAAATTTCGACTCCTGCTTTATGGACTTATAAGCATTAACCTAGATCCCATTGGCTAATTTGAACAATTACACTGAAATAAGAGGACTCAACACTTTAGGAATATAACTGAGCACGTACCACAGGTTTTGATCCACCAAACACTGGCAATGGTCGACCTTTCCATTCTTTACCCAGCCCTGCAACCGAGACCGACCTTTGTCTGCTGGGGTGTGACGCCCCACCCAGAACAGGCACTTTTTCCGTGGAACTCCGAGGCCTCCTGCTGAGTTGGGCCGAGGAGGGACGGGAGGAGTTGATGGGGCTGGGGGAAGAGTCGGTTCGTGACGGGGGAGCCGAGCTGGGCCGCTGGATCTCAATCTGGGGTGGAGCAAGTTGGTGGTGTCTGGGGCTGCTTCCAATTTGTACGTCGCTCCAGCTGGTTTAAAAAAAGAAATAAATATATTTCATGTTAACTAGCTGTCAGCTTGGTTTTCAGTTGGTCTTCAAAATGTTCATCAGATGATTCATCTGGTTATACCTTCTTTCTCCCTCATCTCAACACTACTTAATCATTTCCCTCTTCATTACCCACATTCTAGTTGGACCTTTCATGCCTTTCCATTTATTCAATTTGCTGTTCTTTCTACTCTCCCCTTTTGGTCCAATTCAGAGCTGTACTCAATTACTTTCATCCTGAATAGTGGGTTTACTGCAACATATTATAAATATGTGGAGTGAATAAAGCTAAATCAAACAGACCACGCAAGGTAAATGCTTCCAAGAAACAACAGATATTTTTGACAACCAAAATCTTGTTTGAACTAAGTTTTTTTTAGCAAAAGATTCCCAAAAGTACTCTGGGAGTACATTTACTATTAAATATGTTTAGGATTCAAGTCCAAAGTTTACTTTTTCTTCTAACTCTGAATTCATTGGCAGTCTACTGTCAATGTTTCTCTTGCTGTATTCAAAACAAACAGTTTGACACTTGGCAATTAAAAAGTCTTAGAAAGTACTTGACTCTAACTGAGGCCAGCCTGTCCCACCCTCCTTTTGTAACCTTGATCTATCATCCCACATTTGATGTTAAATATCCCTGTGTCATGCACTTCAGTACATATACAGACTAAGTTTCAATCTGCCACTGCATGTTTAAGATCTGAAGGGGTAAAATTTCACTCTTTTGAGAGGGGGACGGATGATCAGGGTAGGAGAGTTCTTTGAAGGTTAAACTTTGCAGCTACCTCCCATCTATAGATGCTGGGGGTTCGGGAGGCCCATCCTCAGACAGAGATGGTTGGCTGTGGCTCCTCATCTGTTGCAAGAGGTTGGGCATCATGGCCTCCAGGCGACCAGACTCTTCAAGGTTGTCCAGGTGGGTGTGGAGAACTGCTGTCATGGGGCTACCACTGCGGCTACCCATGGGAGAATCTGGAAAGATTCACAAAAGTAGGCAAGGATGGTTCAGATTTGAGAGAATATTAAATAAATGAATATGCTCAATTGTTT